TCATAGTTTAATAATAATAAAAAAATATATACATATATTTCCTAGTCTGTTTGATATTTTGTTTTTCCTTTGATGTTATTATGTGACGTTAAAAATTAGTATTACTTTTTTGTTATAATATTGATGTAATACAAAAATTATAAAATGCTAATAGAAATAAAATAATTTAAGATAATATGTATTTTATAATTCTACTAGAAAGTAGAAACGAGTTAAGAATCGAAAAGAGTTCTAGTTGATCATTACTGATGTAGCAAGAAGATAACTGTGTATTTTATGGCAGGTAACTCAGGCAATGGTATTTGTATCGCGAGGCATAAAATAGCATCTTCGTTGCGATCGTTGAGAGCGTGTCGCAATTTATAATGCACACGTTCATGCGCTCCATCCCTGATATCCATTACGTTTTCCGTGTTAATTGATTCGAGGTTGCGGGAAACGATTGCGAACCGGAAATCCTCATATCTTTCGCTCGTCTCTTCTGTCCTTTATCTTCAGTTAATTGAAAGTGGATTGCTAGCTTCCTCAGATTGCGAAGTACAATTATTCTTATGTCTTCAATCTTTTCCTTCACACTTCATTCACGTTTTTATATTACACACACACACACACTAGATACATATTACACGCTTCATTCTAATTTGTCATCTTTATACATATAGTATATAAAAGAAATTTATTGGAATTTTCGAAAAAGGGGTGAAATTATATCGACGTTGAAATAATGAAAAAATTAATAGCCAGGATGGCAGGACTAATAAAACCGATAATTAAAATAGAGGATACGTAGATGAAGATGTATAATTATCGCATTTTTTTCTGTTGCAATTCAGTTATGTGTACACATGTGCGTAATTGTTTTCTTAACTGATCAAAGTTAATACTCGATTTCTGTCATTGATTTCGGTAAAGAAAATTCGTCGCGGGGTTGGACGCATTATCGCGATGATTAATACGATTCCATTAAGCGGTGGTGTTGTTCCTCAGCATCAAGAATGCGAATGCGAGCGCCACACGTGCGGCGAGAGATGCGAGAAATGCTGTCCAATGTACAATCAGATTCCGTGGAAACCCGGTACAGCTGCGAAGGGCTTTCACTGCGAGAAATGCAACTGCAACGGGCATGCAACATCGTGCAGATATGATCAGGACGTGGCCGACGGAAGAATGTCCATGGACATTCGTGGGAAATTTCGCGGCGGCGGTGTCTGCGTTAATTGCACAGTAAGCCCTCGAATTTCTCCAGAGAAACGCACCCGACCTGATCGTGTCATAACACTCCGAGCATCGTGAATATCGGTAGAAACACTTCTGGTGTTACATCGGTTGTAAGGCTCAAATTCACGCAGCGAAAAGTTCGTCGCGAAATTTTCGTCACGCAGTCATACTGACTTGGTACTCGCTTTTGTTTCATAAATTTAATGCTAAACCTATCAACAGTCTTCAAACACTAATGTACTATATTTTAT